ACCATATTTGATTTCTTACTATTCCTCCGCATTTACAATTAATTAGTTCCACAACCACGACGCCGAAGTGTACGCTAGCTCCGTAGCGTCTTGTTATATAAAAATCACTATTCTGTTTATAGATTATGATCTCAACATTTTTTGATGACGTCAACTCTAGGAAATTCTGACGTCACTTCCTCCTTGCCAGCTTCAAATAAACTATGATATCATCCTATCTATATGACATGCATGACGTCAGCCAGCTAAAAATAAACTATGACATCATCCTATCTTAAGGGCATGCATGACGTCATCGGCATTAATTTAAACCATGACATCATCCTATCTTAATGATATGTATGACGTCATCTACGTTAATTTATACCGCACAAAAAGTTAATTAAATCCGCAAAGAAAAGGAGTAAAACATCCCTCCTCCACTACTGTTACAACACTGTTCCAACATTGCAACGCCTTGTTGAGCTAAAACTCGTCGTTGCGAATCGTCCCGTGTAACATTAAGTTGGATTTCTCAAATTTTACATTTAAATCGCGCAAATACATGTAAATACATTTTGCTTAGTTTTAACATCATTATGTTAACATCATTACTCTTAGTTTTAATAATTTTTAACTGTATATATATGTTGTGGTTCAAATTTTTCCTTGGTTTAAAATTTTTTCAAACCAGTTTAATTTTACTTTCCTTTGTCTAAAATCAATTACCATAATCAGAGACAAAGAAAAACAAAAATTAAACTGGTTTGAAAAATTTTAAACCAAGGAAAAATTTAAACCACTACATATACATTTTTATACAGGTTTTTATGAGAAATCTTATCTTTCTATTATTATTTCTAGTTTATTTATTTATTTTTCGTGGCATGTCTGTAAAGTAGCTAACTAGCTAAGAACATTCACCAAGTTAAATAAAGGTTATTGTTGTTTGCTGATGTTGTTGTTAACAGAGGCAGCATTACACAGCATGAAAATGGAGATTTACGTAAAATTAAAGTTTGCGTAAACCTGCGTAAAGTTGGTCATCCAACTTTACGCAAACTTTCCACGGCGCGTAAAGGTTTGTAAAGGTAAATTTACGCGCTCGGCTCTTAAAGGTTTCGTAAAGCTAGCATAAAGTTGTTGTAACAGCTTTACGCTCATTTACGTTACAAGTAAAGGTTTAGTAAGGTTGTCATATAATGCTAGCTTAATTCCTAACAGCAATTTATTCCCGGCACTGTTTTTAGTAAGTCGTTTGTGTCCTGATACTAGTTCGCATAGTTTTTTGGATCACTCATTTGGTGTTCGATGTTGGTGTGCGATGTAATTAGCCAATTCCATGCTCAACGTAATTGACTCCTTACCCATGCCTTACATATCTTTAATCAGTACATGAGACTGCTATGCTGTTTTTGAAGCCTGATGTGACTAAGAAAAATAGAGAACTGTTTTTTAGAAGGATTTGTATGGAGTGATCAGAGCATACATAACTGGGCTAATATCGCGGAGACAATTTGTCCTGAAATGCTAGTTTCTGGCAAGTAGGCCTCTTGGATGTTGCTCTTTTCAGAATATCCTGACAAATCCCATAATTTCACACCTTACTCTTACCATATTTGATTTCTTACTATTCCTCCGCATTTACAATTAATTAGTTCCACAACCACGACGTTGAAGTGTACGCTAGCTCCGTAGCGTCTTGTTATATAAAAATCACTATTCTGTTTATAGATTATGATCTCAACATTTTTTTGATGACGTCAACTCTAGGAAATTCTGACGTCACTTCCTCCTTGCCAGCTTCAAATAAACTATGATATCATCCTATCTATATGACATGCATGACGTCAGCCAGCTAAAAATAAACTATGACATCATCCTATCTTAAGGGCATGCATGACGTCATCGGCATTAATTTAAACCATGACATCATCCTATCTTAATGATATGTATGACGTCATCTACGTTAATTTATACCGCACAAAAAGTTAATTAAATCCGCAAAGAAAAGGAGTAAAACATCCCTCCTCCACTACTGTTACAACACTGTTCCAACATTGCAACGCCTTGTTGAGCTAAAACTCGTCGTTGCGAATCGTCCCGTGTAACATTAAGTTGGATTTCTCAAATTTTACATTTAAATCGCGCAAATACATGTAAATACATTTTGCTTAGTTTTAACATCATTATGTTAACATCATTACTCTTAGTTTTAATAATTTTTAACTGTATATATATGTTGTGGTTCAAATTTTTCCTTGGTTTAAAATTTTTCAAACCAGTTTAATTTTTACTTTCCTTTGTCTAAAATCAATTACCATAATCAGAGACAAAGAAAAACAAAAATTAAACTGGTTTGAAAAATTTTAAACCAAGGAAAAATTTAAACCACTACATATACATTTTTATACAGGTTTTTATGAGAAATCTTATCTTTCTATTATTATTTCTAGTTTATTTATTTATTTTTCGTGGCATGTCTGTAAAGTAGCTAACTAGCTAAGAACATTCACCAAGTTAAATAAAGGTTATTGTTGTTTGCTGATGTTGTTGTTAACAGAGGCAGCATTACACAGCATGAAAATGGAGATTTACGTAAAATTAAAGTTTGCGTAAACCTGCGTAAAGTTGG